CATTGGCAATCAAATTATTTTCATTAGAACGACCATATTCAAAGATATCAATTCAAGGGGAAATAGACATTCATTCCCAAAAATTATCATTAGATAATGCGTTCAATTAGTTTCCATACATGAGAAAACACTAAAACAAATTCAAAAAGTTAACAAAACACTCAAGCAGGTCCCAGAAGGCAGCAAATCAAGGACTGAACCATATATGACCATCAAACTAAAATTCGTCCATAGCAAAGCATCAATCCGGATATAACTCAGTCAATCAGAAGACAGTAATAGAACACAAATAATGACCAATTAACCATCTAGTGACTTGGGAGGTTCACACGTCTGTGCGGGATTTATCCACTGCAATCCTGAAAGGTAGTTCCCGGAAAAACAGTGAGAGGCAAAAAGTAGAAATCGTGAATATACAAAAAGCCGATGTCTCAGGTTATAAAAATATTATCTTAATAAAGCATTACAGGTTTCCGTAGTGGGCAATTGATGTCCAAGACGACAAAAGGGACTTTTAGAAGGCGACTGGGCTGGGTCTGTTTTTTAGTCAGTAGCCACTCTCGCTTTTGTTTTTTCTTTCATGGTGCTTACGTAATACAGTCAAATGTCCACGGAATTTCAACATTTTTTCACCAATTATTACGTAATACAGCCAAAGATATAATAATCTTTCGTCGATAAATTTTTCAAAAAAATCTTGAAATCACCAGTTTGTCGATAAGTTTCTGCACATACGTTTCAGTCCTAGACCAGAAAAATGCAGAGGAATAGTCATAGTTTGTCATACACAATAAGAAAACATACAATATTTAGCCATTAATTCATCCGAATATAGAAACAGTCATAGACGAGTGAGAAATCCTTCCATTTTCTCATAAACAAAGAATCCATATGAGAGCGCTTATATATACATACACAGACATATATAAAGAGAGAGATTGAGAGAGATGAGCAAGAGGGAGAGAAGGACCTGAAACGTTAAGTTCTTTCTAAGCAAAGCGTTTGCCTGAGCACCGAAACTGGTAGGTCGAGGACGTGAAAAATGCGACGGATCAGCCATTGAAGGCCAAAAGAACTTCCTAATAAACTTTAAACTATGAAGAGTTGCAATTCAAAGAACTTATCGGGCGCCAAACAATCGAGCGAAGCTCTTGTGCTTTCCAATGTGGAATGAAGTCTCTACTCTGTCAACGGTGACTCGTCACTGCTTATATCTCTTCTTTTCCATTTAATAGCTACGTGTTTCAATCCTTTGGAGTAAGAAATTACGTGTTCATCAGCTTAAAACCTATTCCGCCATTTTCGCTCCCAAAAATCACGAGTTGCTCTGAATGATCGTCTTTTTTCCTTTCATCGCCCACGCGCTTTCAGTCTCTGGAAACCTGACGGACGACAGTTACACTTCTAACTGTAATTCCCGAACTACCCCTAATTTACAGGCGATTTACTATTGAATCCCATAAATAAATCCGTAGCAATATTTACTACTGACTACCATAATCATATAATCCAATCAATATAATTCTACAAATTAGTTATTTGAAATTTTTATAAAATTATTTTGATGATTTA